GCCTAAGACCATCCTGCATATCAGATATTTACATTACGACCCATAACAGTAGCAACATTACAGTTATGAAGTAGCAACGAAAATAATTTCATGGTTGGGTCACAACATGAGGAACTGTATTTAAAGGGCCAGAAGGTTGAGAACCACTTGCTTAGGGACTCACGTTCCTTTGTTAGTGTGGGCAACGGAGGACATAATGAAAAGGGGTAGAAAGAAGGTCAAGCCATGGGGACATTCACGGTGTACTTGGGGGTTCTGAACTATTCCCAGTCATAAACAGAGAAGGTTGAGAACCACTTGCTTAGGGACTCACGTTCCCTTGTTAGTTTGGGCAACGGAGGACATAATAAAAAGGGGTAGAAAGAAGGTCAATCCACGGGGACATTCACGGTGTCCTTGGGGTTCTGAACTATTCCCCGTCATAAACAGAGGACTCACCCTCACAATGATGCCCATGCGCTTGCTCTCATAGGTGAAAGGGAAGATCTGCAAGATGGTGAAGTTCAGGATCTGGTCGCCAGGGGTCCTCAGCTGCATGGAAGACTGGTCTCGGCCCACCAGGGTTAAGCCCACGCTTTCGGTCCACTGTACCAGGGCCACCTGCAGGTAACACGGAGTCGAAGGTCAGACACGGCTGAGGGTCCTGGTTCACAGGTCAACCACAGGAACACAACGGTAGGAGGGGGGCAGACAGGTGAAATGCAACAGCCACTGTGTCCCTGGGAAGACTGTGCCAACTCAGTGACGGCATCCGCTCCCCTGGGCCCCTGGGGGCTCTGCACTCACAGCTGCCCCTAAAGGCACGACTCGCCTTCTCTTCCTGGCCCCACGGCAGGCCATGCCAGAGCCCCGGCAGAGCACGCACAGGGTTAGGAGTGACTACAGACCGCTTCACCACAGACCAGAGTTACCACCGATCACTTCTGGGAGAATTTGTACCACAATTATCAGGACGGACGGGGTGGCTTGACCATCAGACTCCTGTTTAGGTCTCATGGATACTCACCCAGGTGGGTGGTTACAGCAGTTCTCCACTGGGCAATACTGCCCCCCAAAGGGCATTTCAATGTCTGGGAACATTTTTGGGTGTCACAACTGGGGGATGGGAGTGTGCTACTGGCATCCAGTGGGCGGAGGCCAGGGATGCTGCCAAACACAACAGAAAATTATCCCCAGAGGTCAGTCCTGCCGAGGTTGACAACACCAGTCACACAGACGAGGAAGGGACAGAGGCCAGGCCAGGCGGGGACCTGCAAGGCGGGCCCCTAGCAGTGGGCCCGGCACCCCTGGAGGCATGATTTGTCAGGTGTCCACCCTGACACACAGTCACCATCAGAAAGTTGATGGGAGAAGCGGTAGGAGGTTTAACAGTCGCCAACAATGCCCACGTCCTGATCCCCAGAACCTGTGACTGTCACCTGACAAGGCAAAATGGACTTTGCAGATGTGATTAAGACTGAGGGCCCTGAAATGGGAGAATCTTCCTGGCTGTGGCCAGAGAGAAATGTGAGGACAGGAGGAGGGTCAGACACAGGTGACGTTGAAGCCGGAGGAAGGGCCACAGACCTGGGAAGGTGGGCAGCTTCCGGAGCTGGGCACACAAGGACACAGACTGTCCCTGGGACCAGGAGGAACGCAGCCCTGAGGGCACCCTGATCATAGCCTGGCAAGACCCGTGTCAGACCCCTGACCCACAGGACTGTAACAGTAAACCCGTGTTGTTTTGAACTCCAGATTTGCAGCGATTTGCTACAGCAGCGATAGGAAACGAGTATAGGAGGCGCCGGGTTTAATGCCAAACAAGCTGCCGTTTTATTCCATCCAAGTTCAAGGTCATGGTGTCTACAGAAGAAACAAGAAAAGGCACCCTCCTTCCTTTCTTCCTATGAAACGATCTTTAGAGAAAGTCAAGGGGGTGGATTTTAGGAAAGTGTTGACTTGAGGAGGGAGGGAAGCTGACAAAGTTGGCATACGAGAGGCATCCATCTGAAATGCTTTATCATCGTTAAGCCTGGTGGTGAGTATATGGCGTGCACTACATTATCCTCTATAACTGTCCGCATGTCTGAGATGTTTCATAATGGTTATGGTTATTTTTCTCATCGAGGGGGTGGTAGATAAAGAGTCGCTTTTCCAGGAAACCTAGTAGCATCAGCCACCAACAGCACCTCTATTTTATCGGGGTTCACCCTGAGTCCCCATTCCTTTCCCCAAGAGACTGCAAAAGCCACAAGAAAGCTGCCCCCAGCTTGGCACCCCAGACATCACTGCGGCTGAAGTGCTACACCTGAAGGTCGGGGTGGTCAGACTGGAGCTCAAACCCGCCCCACCCCACCCCCTTCCAGGGCCTCTGAAATCCGGGCCACAGTAGACTAGTCCTCATTTCTGTTCCCACTGTCACGGTTGTGTCTATACAACCCTGGTGGGTGCTGTGCTCAGAGACCTAGTAGGCTTCTGTTGCTGATATTAACGGAATTCACATTAGAAAGTTCTTCGAGAACAGGAAACTCCACCCTGTGGTAATCATGTCACAGCAAGTCAGCCATGGTGAAGGGAGCTAGCTTCCAATCTGCCAGGGGAAGCCACGGTCACACTGCTCGCGCCCCCCGCCCCCCCACACCCAAAGCAAAGGCCAGTCCAGTAACGATGTTTTGTTTTGCTTTTGCTATTAATCTGCTTAAGTCTTTGTAAATGTATTTGTTTATTTAATTCAATGACCCTGACCTTCAATATCCCTGGCCTACCTGCTAACAATCTTCTTTCAGTTTAAAACCAGCCCGGCTGGTGTTGCTCAGTGGTTGAGCGTCAACCTATGAACCAGGAGGTCACGGCTCGAATCCCGGTCAGGGCACATGGCTGGGTTGCGGGCTCCATCCCCAGTGTGAAGTGTGCAGGAGACAGCCAATCAGTGATTCTCATCATTGATGTTTCTATCTCTCCCTCCCTCTCCCTTCCTCTTTGAAATCAATAAAAATTTTAAAAATTAATAAATCAGTAAAGACCCGTATATACAAAGTAGTCCCATCTGTGTACAAAATGTTTCTGGGGTGACACGTGAAGAGAAATACATCTAGCTTTCACTTGCATCTTTCCACACTGCTGACGTATTTTAAGCATGTACATGCATTTCTTTTATTTTTAATTAAGTAAATAAAATATCCCAACAGAATACAAATACCTAGATACACACAAACCCAAAAAAAGCTTAGCTAAATTTACATCCTCTACGTACCAATTTTATGTGAGAAGAAAATCCTTCTTCGCATTTCAAACATGATTGTTATTAAAAGAATTTTTTCACTCTTGTTTCAAACAGCTGGTTCAAACCCAACTTTACTGTTCTGAAAAGATGGGAAAAGTCTGTGCTATTGGGCTTCGGGGAGACCTGCTAATTCCCCAAAGCCTGTTCCTAACTTCAATGGAGAAAGAATCTCTAACTCCAGGACCACAAGGGACTTTTGGCCCAGCCCAGCCCCCACGCCGTGGACCCCACAGGCCTTGTTAGCAGAGACGCCGACTATAAACTTGAAATGATCAACACTGGCAAATGCTCCCGATGAGGGATGAATTGCAACTGGAGGTAAACACCGTTTAACTGAGCTTTATCCTACAGCGAATCTCAACAGAGCTAAGGGGCCTACATAAGACTATGCCTGTCCTCCCTCCCCCCTGCCCCCGCCCCTTGGGTCCCTCGTCCTAATCAAAACCTCATTGGCTCCTCGGGGGCTGATTCCAACAGGATATGAGCCCTGCGGGGGGTCGTTCATTTTTACCTTCCACTCTCTCACTTCGACTTTGTCAGCCTTAATTTAAAGCTACTTCCTAACAGAACACAGAGCTCACGCAACCCCCACCCCACTCCCGCCCGCCCAGGTCCCACTGAGCAGAGACAGGCGTAGAATCTCAGCATAGAATCGGGCGCTCACTAACCCTCTCCACTGTGGCAGGGACAAACACCTCAGGGGTGAGGACAGACCGCCACACTCCTTCACAGAACAAGGTGACATAAAAGCAGGCTACTTCCCATTCGGGCGGGTCCAAGCCTCCCTTCAAAAGAATCGTCAAAGTATGAAGATTTCAGGGTCTTGTGTCTCACTGTTCTTAACAGCCAGAGTTGGGGCCTCAGGGGGTCTTGGGTCAGAATACCAGGAGGTCAGAGCAGCAAGAGAAAAAGAAACCTCGTTAGGTGGATGGATGGGTGGATGGATCAGATCCAAACTTGATATGAGTTGCCTGGCTGTCATCCTGCCAGCCGTGTGGCCTTGCCCACCACATCACTGGCAAAATGGCACAATCATAACAACTGGGTTGCAAGGAGTGCTGAAGGCCTGGTGCAGGCACAGAGCAGGGGCTCAGCAGGGGCCATTTCTTGCTGCTGTCGGGACCACTGCTGACCTCACTCTCTAAGGGCTGTGAGCTCGGCCCTGACACCTTCAGGAGGCCGAGCTCAGTGAGGATTATTGAAGTTTAAGAATTTGCCTAAAATCACACAGCTCATCCAGAGAGCATGGAAGGGAGGGTGAGGTGCCGATGCGATGCCCTCGTCATTCGTGGAATTAGTGGGAAGGGGGGTCTGGAAAGGCAGACGTTCATTGATGCCCTCAACCGACCACAGGAACACAAAGCAACCCAATGTCTTCCTGAGACTCAGCCCTCTGCTGACGTCACAGAGCAACGGCGTCCCATTACCCCCACACTTTTTGGCTTTTTGTTGTTTGTTTGTTAATCCTCACCTGAGCATAATTTTTCCACTGACAGGGAGGGAGGGAGGGCGGGAGGGAAACATCAATTGGTTGCCTCCTGGATGCACACACCCTGACAGGGCTGTGGATCAAACCTGCAACCCAGGTACATGCCCTTGATCAGGAATCGAACCTGAGACCCTTTGGCCTGCAGGCTGAAACTCTAACCATTGAGCAAACCAGCCAAGGCCCAACACTCTTTAAAAAGACGTACTACCGAAAGCAAGGTGCAAAACTGTACCTATAATTTATAACTTGCTTTTAAACTCTTTCACTACTAGTTAAAGGGTGAGGAAGATTCCAGTATCTACAGATGATATCTGCAGGGCTCGGACAGCGATGACAGCAGGTGGCTCAGAGGAAGAGGTCGGGCGAGGAGGACCAACGCCGAGACTTCTCGAACGGAGGTCATCGGTGGGAGAGAGACAGCCGTCTCACTGGGCCACGAGCATGGGGCAGCCACACAGAGCATTCTACACATGATGGACAACTTGTAATTAGTGGCTCTGAAATTATTGAGCTAGTCAAGGCCTAGCCAAATGCGTGAAGAAACTTTCACTGATCCTCTCACATACATGCACACCCTGTACAAACACCCACGCACGTCCCCCCACACACATGCTCACACGGCACACATGTGCACACACACCACAAGCACATATGTATCCACACCCACACGTGTGTGCATATATATATACACACATATACTCGGCACACAAACACACGCACACACACTATGAAACCGTATGGCTTTCTAAAGGATGTTACTTCCCTCGCTTCACTTTCCTTCCTGCTTAGTGATGTGCACCGCAGTGCGATTCTGTATTACAGAAACATAAAATTATACACACACACACA